TGGAAAGAGAGATAAATGCAAACCACATCAAGTAGCTCTGAAGTTTCAGCAATCCCTCTCCCTTATTACTGACAGGGCCTTTGAATCAAGATGTTTTCCCTGCTTTGAAAAGCTTACAGTCCAAGACAGAAGACACCCCACCAGGAGAGGAGTGAAGATACAGCAAGAAAAAAGGATCACTGGAAAAAGGAAGAGAGTTTTGACCGTATGAACAGAAAAGGGGAAACTGTTCCAAAAAGTAATGGGTATTGCAAAGGCAGCAGTAGAAAGAGAGGAGGCAAGGAGAAAGGAAAGGCAGGAGTAAACAAAAACACCCAGGCAGGTCAGGATGGGCTGAGTAGGAAATTGATGCAGAAGACATGAAGCTGAAGCAGCAGAAGAAAAAGAAGTTTTTCACCTGTAGTATTCTGGAAAGACTAAATGGAGGAGTGATGACAGGTGGGGGTTATAGCCATCACCACTGCATATACTACAGAGTTAGAAGTTGGTGGGAAGATAGCCAGAAAAGAAAGGTATTACAGAGGGGAGGACACAGGCAGAGCCTGAAGTGGGATGAGAGAAAACAGATCCTGTGAGATGGAGAGGGCAATAGTTCTAGACATGCAGGAACCCCTAGCCATGCCTGTCTGCAGTCATGGACCTGCCTCACCTGTAGCTACTTGCATGGAGTCCAAAGCCAATGCAGTTTGGAATTCCCAGCAAAGGCACCAAATGCATCTTCTTCCACTTATCCACTAGGAGGGAGACACAACAGTCAGAGAGTTGTGGCTTTGCTGTGTTGCTGGCTGAGGCACTTTACAATTGGAAAGGCACCCACCCAGCCCAACAGGCAGGAACTGCCCTTTCCTCACAGACCCCTTCTGCACCTGGCAGGCCAGATACAAAGCTCACCCATAAGCAACAGTTAAGCAGACAGCTGGGTGTCAGGTAAACAGAGCTCTAGAGGGAATCACTGACAGATAAGTGGGGACAGAGGAAGAGCTGCAGGGATGCTAAGTTTGGGCCAGGGAAGGAAAAGATGTCAAGCTCTTCCCACAGCGGCAGGTTTACCCCAGGTGCTTGGACAGGGGGTGAGTGCCAGACAGCAACTCTGCACAGCTTGGTCTGAAAGAACAGCTCAGGAATGGGACTCTCAGCAACCTAGGGCTGATGAACCCTGGAGATCATGCATCCACCACCTGACAGGCCAGGGTGCAAGATAAACATCTGCCTCTGAAACCAACACACCAGTAGGATACCAGTCAACAGTCAGGTGTCCTACCGCACACACCAGGGCCAAGTACCAGGAGGTTACTGCACAGGTACTGCCCAGGAGGGCCCATGGACCTTGTCCTTTCCTGCTTCTGGGACAGGGGACACTTTACACACTGATCAGTACTGGATGCCTTTCAGCACTGACTGATTAACAAACTGATGCCCCCAAGTGGCCTTATAAGAGAGTTCCCTGGCTGCTCTGCAGGGATGACCCAGTGACTGGGGGCTCAGCCTTCCAGAAAATAATCCACACCTCCTCCTCCAGGAAGGACTGACCTGTGGCTTTCTTGGCAGCTCGCTGTAAGAAGTTCTGCTCATTGTAGATCTTCCCATTTTTGGCATCCTGAGAGGGTGAGGAGAAAGAGGTGAAATTTCAGTGTTTAACCATCACTTACTATACAGCGACAGTACATCTCTGGCAATTCTTGCCTGCTCATCTCAGGGCTCTCCACTAAGCGGGTGAGGATTAAAAATCCCTATTTTATGGAAATGGAGTGACCTGCCTAAGGTCACCCAGCAGCTCAGTAGCTGAGGTGGGAACAGGCGGGGTCTCTGGATTCTCTGTCCAAGGTCTACTGAACCACACCACCTCCCAACATCTGGACAGCTCAGCTAGCCCCAGAACAGAGGTCTCAGGATAGAGAGTTCTAAGTGCTACTGATTTTAACACTCTGCAGGTTAGCAAGTGCCCCAGAACTGAGAGACCTGCAGTCAGTTTTGAAGTAAAAGCTGTCACACCAATAGATTATTGAACTGCTTATTCTATGAACTTTCTTGGGCCATTCTGGGCTGATGAAAGGAGTTAAATCCACCAGCCTATTCAGCTACTGCATGAGTATGACTGTAGCTTATAACAGGGAAGTTCCAACCAGGAATTGCACAGTAGCCCAAAACCGGCAGCTCCCAGCTGTATTCCAGCCTGTCAGAAAATAGCATGGAAGCCTCTTCTTACAGCACTTGCCACTCAACAGAGGTTCCAGCTCAACTGCTGGGTGCTGGCCCTGACCTCTCAGGACCCATCCTTATATACCAGTGGGGATCTGTCCCCACCTGCGTTTGGTACTTCCCTTTTCTTACTGCTTTTCCTTAGTGACCCAAGATACCCAGATGCTCATTCAGAAGCTGCAGGACACAAGCTAGCTTAGCTATCTTAGGATGTCACATGATAGGAGGTGGTGGCCATTCTAGATCTGCTGGCCCTGCTTGATATCATGAGCCCCACACCCATGCAGCCAGCAATGCTGTAAATCAGCCAGCCGACAATTTTTAATATCAAGCTGCAGAGCCTGTCTAGACTTTAGTGCCTTTCTGCTAGGAACATTTTGGCTGGCATTTTGGATGTGAAGAACTGCCCTTAGCACCAGTTCATACCTGCGTGTCTATACATCCACTGGCCTGTACTCCCATCATATCCCACACTCTGTAAGGGATAGGATGGGGGGCTTGGGTCATAGGTAGAAACAACGGGGAGTGATAGCTATTGAGTGAGGGCTTAGATCAGTGATTCTCAATCAGAGTGCTGCAGACCCCTGGGGTGCTTTGAGATCCTTTCAGGGATGCCACAGGGTACCTTGTAATGTTAGCACTGATAGATATGCAAATATGATTCACAAGACAAACCCAGAGGAATCCACTAGGAATCCATAGTGTTAAAAACATTCTGACCTGTAAGGTTGAGAACCACTGGGTTAGATGGTTGCTGGATAAACGGTGCTATGGCAGAACTGTTGAATGGAGAAGCTGGTGATGCGGGGAGCAGTGGGGGAGGGCATGTGTGTGTGTGCACGTGTGCGTGTTACAGGCATGATTAAGGCTTCTTGGAAACTAATTAGTTCTGCCCAGCTTTGTGGTATTTACCCTGTACTGGACAAGACTCCCCACCAATGCCCTCCCTCTCCCAGATGGTTGTTTCCCCAACACAAAAGGGAGAATAAGTTGGTTCATGTTATTGCAAAAGAAGGTCTGTCTTAAAACACCTAACTCCCTGTGCATGCTAATCATCATTGCTGCTGCTGCCAAAGAGAAATTTCTGAAAACCATTAGTTTCCAGAGCCAAGGCAGATGTGAGACGGCAAGCTGGACTCAACTGTGGCTCATGAATTGTCAGCAATGCTGCCAACTCCATTCCAGCTGTAGAGTAGTTATTACTGGGAATGAGGACAGTTCTGTCTGAAGACCCTGGCTGGATTGGCAGATGCCAGGGAGCTGGCACAGGGCTACAAGGCTAGATTAATCAGCATTTGATTTAGAAACTCACTCTGGAGCTGCAGAGGAAGAGATGGAGAATCTCTTACTGTTGGGGTCTAAAGTAATTTTCCACACTGAGCACAACCAAGAGCCTGATTTTCAGGGATTCTGAACATCTTCAGCTTCCATTGGATTTCAACAGGATCTGTGGGTGCTCAACAGCTCTGGAGAAAGTGCCAGGAATCTTACATGGAAAAAACTGTTACTCTTGTAACAACTAATAACATGTGTTACCACATTTGCTATCCTGAAATCAACAGGACTGCAGAGGGATAACTGACAGTAAATACGTGGATAGTGAGTCTAAACAGCAGCCACTCTGGAACAGCTTTTCTTTAAATACTCGCATCTGTTTTCCTTGCATTTTTGTAAGGAGGCCCGAATTCTATTCAAAGCCAAGTAAAATACTCCTAGGGAACTGTAATGGGCTTTTCAGCCTATGGAGGAAGTCCAGTCATTCCTTCAAATAAGCGCTACCTGCAGCAATGCTAGTTGCTCCCCCATTATATCTCACAGTTTAAAGGCCAAAGGGCATCACTATGATTTCCTGGTCTGAACTTGTGCGTTAAAGCATTCTACAACTGTTTGCCATGGCTTCTGGCAGGATATCAGCCAGTCAGACCACAGGGCCCCACACACACAGAACACTAAGCCTTATGAACACAGATCAGGACTCACAAGTTTGAGAGAGTATCTTTGCTTTTGAGGACAGGCTCCAGATGCTGACTGTGCTGTGAAGGGATGGAATCAACAAGGTTATGGGAGCATGAGACACGGGTATTTGCAATGCTGGTAGCCCAGAAACTAGCATTACTAAATATACCAAGTTGCAATTTGACTCCTATTTCATTATTCTCTGCCTCTTTCACTTCAGGGCTGTGAAAACACTCTCTGTGAAGACTTCTTTGCAAGTGGCTATGTGACAATTCCCACCTTGCTTCCAAGGCATAAGACCTTTTTCCTTTTCCTGTCCAAGTCTTGTAAAAGCTCTAAGCACACTAGCATCTAGGCATGGCCACATCATCAGGGCAGTTTGCTCTTTGAACACAGTATGCAAACAGGAAGAGTCATCCCCAGAGAAAGGAGGGAAAAAGCGTACAGGAAAGCAAGCCAGTGACAAAGCAGCTCATAGTGCATGTTGCCTTTTTCTAGAGACAGGACCTTTGAGGTAAACAGCCAGATTAACATATATAAAGGAAGCGTAGACTCCAAATTCAAGCACTGGTAGGAACAGGGAAACTCATCTGTACAGTGACACCATGTTGATATTAATGTAAATGTACCTTTAGAATTCTCCAAGTGTGTTTTGGTCAAAATATAAGATCTTAAACTTTTTCCTACAGGTCAGCCTCTGTCGTTCACTTTTCACATCTCAGAGCAACCAGACACAAGGATTCTGGTAGGGAATGAAAGGGGCAGTCTGGGCTGCCTAAACAGGGCAAGACTACAGGATCCGGAGTGAGATGGGGGAAGGATGACTATGTCCTTCACTTGTCTAAGTTGCCACTGTGCCTATGACTGGTCCTGCCTGCAACTGGGAAGTATTACCATGAGACTCCAGTTTTCATACAGCAATATATCCTCTCTTCCCCACCAGCCTGAACTTTCACCCCCTTGCCATAGTACAAGGTCACACAGCACCTTCATATATCAGCCCCCAGTTGCCCTGGCTCAGAAGCTTCACAAGTTTCCACTGTTTGTTGTTCTGGTCTGTCAGGATTTCCCCCTCTGGGAGAGGAGCCACCAGGACATTCCTGATGCGCCGTGGAGATCGGGGACTGAGCTTTGCTTCAATGGGGAGACACAAAAAAGATCAAATAGCAAGAGACAATACAAAAAGATGCACCATACCCATTCTCAAGCAACATGCAGCCCAGATTCAAATCCAGATTTACTCTGAGCAATCTACAGTGGCTTGTCTCCCATTCCCAGGGACTTTACCCCGCTCCCTTGATAAAGCCCTGGATTTCAGCTACTTTCCACTCAGCAGAGGATCAGACTTTTCTTACAGTTCAGCCACAGCCCTCTACCTCAGCCAGGAGGTGAGGGAAGAAAAGGAACAATAGGGAAGACAGGCACACAGACAGCCAAAGCACAAGTAAACCATTTCTGCAGTGCCCCAGCACCAAATAATAGCAATGATATTTCTGTCTTCTTCTCCCACCCCAAGCACAACAGAGCTCAGTAGTGCCCTGATTCTCACCTTTGGATGCCACTGCAGGCCCCGGGGACACGGCCTTGGGGCTCCGAGTTGCCTGTCTGGCTGCAGTAAAAGTTGGGATTTTCTCAGGTGACATGCATTCTACTTTTGTTTTCACAGGAGATGTCACTGGCAGCAATGGCTCCTCCTGCATCAAGGCTGTACGAAGAGAAAACAGTGCATAAAGAAATGGGCCCTCACAATACTGTCCAGATTACGCCAGTGATGAAAATCATATTACTCTGTTACTAGCATTTTTCATCCATGGCCCTCAAGCCCTTTACAGTTACTGTAGTTTCATGATCCACTCCGGTAAAGTCAACAAATGAGGCTATTCCCACGGTACAGACTGAGAACTAAAGCACAGTTCTGTGCTGCCTAATGCCCCAAAGCGTGATCGGAGGCAGCGGGGAGCACAGACATACCTGCCTGCAGCTGCAGCAGCACGGGCAGACCCATATGGTGCTCCCTGCTGCCTCCATCGCCCTCCCCCTGCTCCTACCCCTGGAGTACAGCAAAATCCCAGACATTTGGTCAGGGCAGGGGGGGAGGGGAGGGCTGCCTGCCCCTCCAGGGGGAAAGGAATGGGGAGGAGGGGAGGCAGCAGGGAACTCTGTGGCTGGCCAGCAGTACAGGCGCTGGTGCCTGCACTCACTGGGCTTGCAGGGGCTGATCAGCCAGGAGCTTCTGGGGAGCAGAGGGGAAGGAGGGGGAAGGGGGGGGAGAGGGCCTTGGCCACTGCAACCCTATCCCAGGGCGGGGGGTGCCACATGCCTCCCTTCCTCTTCCCTCCAACCTGTGCTGCCGCTGGACAGGCTCCACCATTGCCTGCATGAATCGGAGTCACCGGTCAGGACACGGAGACCTAGGGCTGCTCCGGCAGGGCTGGGGGGCTGCAGGTCGGCAGTGAGGGGCACGGGGACGGGGCACGAGAACAGACTGTGGGTTGGGAGTGCCGGGTGCTGGCAGTACCAGGGGGCTGCGGGTCAGGAGTGAGGGGCACCATTGTGGCCCGGGGGGCAGGGTACTGCGGGTTGGAGTGAGGGGCGCAGGCAGGGCTGGGGTCAGTGGGTTGGGAGCAAGGGGCAGCAGCG